GTTCCTCTTCTAGAGATTTCTTCTGTTCTTTCCTCTTTGTCTCCACATTTTGGCTGCTTCCAGGTGTTTGTTTCTATGTATGAGGTAGAGCTGCTATGTCTCCTGGAATTTGTAGAGTGGCTTTGTGTAGTAGGTGTCCTGTAGGGTGCAATGGCTCAGCCTCCCAGTCACCTTAGCTGCACCTTCTAGGTGCTCCCCTGTGTGGGCTGTGTGCACTGTCCTGTTGTAGTTGAGCCTTGGTTGCTGTTGGCATCACTGGGAGGAATTGACCCCCTGGGTATGGGCCTATGGCCGCGTCTCCGCCCCTCCTCCTGGTCTCGATGCTCCTTCAGGTCCCTGGTTGTGGGGCTTCTGTTCAGCCANATCTCCGCCCCTCCTCCTGGTCTCAATGCTCCTTCAGGTCCCTGGTTGTGGGGCTTCTGTTCAGCCAGATTTCAGGAGGCTCTGAGCAATGGTGGTTCTGTATTTTAGTTATAATTTTGATGTGGTTGCGGGAGGCGGTGGGTGCAGCTGTTACCTACGCGCCATCTTGTTTCCTCCTCTCTTTCTCCTTTTGACTCTTTAACCTTGTCATGTATAGATTGCAATTATTTCCTTTCCTTTTGATTTTTGCATATAACATGGCTTAAAATGTGGAAACTGGCTTGTCTTCTTTCCTTGCAGAATCAACAAAGCCCTATCAGTACCACTGTGCTCTTTTATATTGGTCTCTGACAAATTCTTTTACTTTAAAATCCTAAATGGCCACAGTAAAACTTCTCTGGGTGACCCAAAAAAACCCACACGTCAAATTATCCCCCTAGGAGAGCGAGAAGACCAGTTTTGCACACAGATTAAGGCAGTTGCTACGAGAATGCTGTTATTTCTTGAGGAAAGCTTGTAAGATTCTGTGAGGATCTTTGGGGTCTAAGAGCTATGTGTACTAAGATGCATGACTCTGCTATTAGCCAAATCACAGGCCACACGGCGATGGGCATAGACAAGCCTAACAGATGGTAGGGAATTTTGCTAGAGGCTCTAGCAGTGGCTCATAGAAAATAACTGCATAATTTTATGTCTGCAAAAAGTTATATATGTCCTTTTATCCAGGTCTACTTTCATGAAAAATCCTGCAAGGGAAGGATTCAGTAGAATTATTTGTGTGAAATCAAAGGAAAATTTGAGTAGGGTAATGCATCACATTACAG